TGAGCCACATCTGAAACCCACAACACCTATCCTCATCTCCGGGAGCCATCACAACACGATGCACATCTCCCCCTCGCAAGGTCGTCTCCTTATCTCTCTGTCTGCGTCGTCAACCGGCAGAGATGTGTCCTGTCAACTGCACAGAAGTTATTCTTTACTATTAATACTACCAGCTTTCCGGCGTAGGGTTTATTGTGAACATAACTCCGATTTGCTCTCTCTGACAGCAGTAGCCACTGTCGAGATCGCCAGTTCTATTGATGTTAAGTCCTGCCTGAGATAGAGAGAGAGAGATAAGCAGTGGTAGCTGCCTTAATAGGTTTGTGGAGCGAGCCCAAGTGTTATCCAGTCGGTGGGTGTTGCATTAACCGCGGGATTGTGTGTTCGAGTGTCGAATGAGCGGCCGTAACTGTCTGGACATACGTGTGCCCCAAATGAACTCGGTTAGACTGTGAAATCAATGTGTCCGGAGCTGCTTGGACCTGACGCAGCGAGACAATGGACAAAGGCACCGAGCACCGCAATGATTGCCGTTGGCAATAGGCCTACAATACTCCATTTGTCGGCCTCTACCCTGGAACCTTCGAAATGGCGTCTGTAGGCCTCTGACAAGACAAGAAGGCAAGCCTCTGGGAGGACGAGAAGCTCACCTCGTTAGGATATCTCGTTGTCGAGCAGTTAAAGACAGCCTTAACCTTCCTACAATAAAGCATGGGTGGTTCTGCCCGAACACCTCCCAGACGCCTAAGATAACTCCTGAAAGTTCCGATAGTGCTTCTGACTTACCATGCCGTCTTTTCCGACATCCCTCAAATATTTACGAGTTGCAAGAGGCCGCACTCTGAACGTGGTAAACCGCTGCTACAGAAAGGGAATTAATCAAGCGTGCATTTGTGAGAAGGCGGGAGAGTTGATTGACAATTTATGGTCTGTTAGGCGTCGCCGGCCGGCAACAGAACAACTCCAGAACACGATAGCCTGGTGCTCGAAAACCTTATACTGTTGTTGGCCTTGGACAGGAAATCATCGAAGTTCGTGACACTGGATTAGGTTGTCGGACGTAGTCCTACAACTTTAACTTACTGCATCGGAGAGGTAGACGGAGACGAGCATTACTACTGACCAAAACTAGAGCAGGTAGAATCCCAATTTGGAATTTATCAGTCGTCACCAGCTAGTGATATCTCAACCCCAGATCCCGAAGCACCCGAGGTTCTTACCCGTCGGGCTATCGAGCATATGAGCCTACTGCGCTGTTCATCCACATTGCTGCAATTGCCATTTGTTGGCTCAGATCCAGAGTATGAAGTCAGATGTGAGGGAAGTACACTGGCACACTTTCGTTTCAAGCCGAAAGAAGCATTTCTGTCTGCCTTGGAGCTCTGGGTATAAAACCCAACCTAGCCGTTCATTTTAGTTCCGTAATCAGGTTAGATCAGTAAAGGCCACTCTCCTGTGACGTGGATCGAAAAGTTCATCTTCGAATCCAGCAACCATAGAAAGCCCTTCCATCCCTGAACTTTGTCTACCGCAGTATTTTACTCATAACTCTATCCGCCTCCATCATATTGTTTTACTTTCTGTCTTTGCTACCAATCTCAGCTGGCGTAGGTGTCGATTATGACCGACATATGGAGATAGACCATACCGATTCTCACGCTTGCGCCAACTACCAACTACATAAGTAGCTGCACAAAACTTATCTGTGAGATTTCTTTGAATCTAAGCCCTCAACAGACACTATCTGTCGTCTCGCTTCAGCATACTGAAACTCTGTTCAGCTGTTCTGTCAAATGACTTCTTCCTTGTCAATTTTGGAATACCCATGTTGGTTCAGACAATTACGCTCGTCAATACGACCAATCTAGGATGTTCCAGTCGAACTGCAAAAGCATGCTCGGAGTCCATCTGTCTGAAGTGGTATAGCTGTTGTTGATATACTCTCAACTGACTATGCAACATATTCTAAGTAATTCTCCGGGGTTTGAGATAGCTAAGAATCCATAGTCCTTGCCTTCTTGTACAGTTATTGGAGAAGAGGGGTGATTTCTGGTCAACTCTGAAGTTGAAGTCCTCATTTAACTCTAGTAGTCAGTTAAACCTAAAGACCGGAATAATATTTTCTGGAAGTTTCCCTGAAGGGTAGCTTCATTACTCTAATGCAACTCCTCGGTTAGAAGCTCTTAAGTTTTACATGATTCTGAAGTTTGTCCTTTGGGTTTTTTCCTAAACATTACCACTTTCCTAGAGGAAGCTTATCAGTGTTCCCAGCAAAATTAGATGTGGACGGGCTATCTTTTGACTATTTCATTCACGAAATTCTGAGGTCACTTTTCCAAGGAAAACCCTCCTGATAAGACGGCTTTCTAAAAGTGTTTAGCAGGGTTACGCGCACAAGTAACATATTTTTTCCCAGTAGGGAAACAGGACTCAAAGAAAATCATCGTGGACGTTAGAAACGAACACGGACAAAGGCCTCCATAAACTGCGCGCTTGCAGCTGGATCATCCGGAAAGTCCTCTCTGAAAGAACCAGACAACCACTTCCGTTGCGTATGTATATACACACAAATGCAGTCCCTCAAATTTCGTCGGCAGTTGGACACTCGGAATCGCGTGGATACAAGCAGAGTAGATATGAACATGTCCGGAAAGGTCACAAAAGCGCTTGCATAACTTCTACCTCTTGTTCAGTCCAGTTCATCAGCAATGTTGTTGAAATTTAGCGGAATGGTCTCTGCATCTTCGGAGTCATCGTCAAACTCCAGGAGCTGTCCATCTGTGGTGTCCAGATTAAGACACACCAGAAGACAGACGGTGTTGGCGGCATGCTGTAAATAACTGCATTTTCGGAGTAGATATTCTGGCGTGTCGATATGCTGGATAAATTCAATTAGTGTCGGCCTCCTGGTTTTAATGCCCAAAGTCAAAAGGCAATATGCTAGACTGATTAGGCAGTGTGAAATCATGGATCGGGTAGCAAAGGCTTTAATATTCAGGACTGATAACTGCTCATCACCCTTGGCCGAAGGCGTCATTGAGAGTTGACCAGGGGCAAGACCCTTCTTGTATCGAAGGAGGAAGTAAATGCCAGCAAGGAGGGCGTTAGGTAGAAGATGCAGGGAACTGAGTCTGTGAGCATAATTGACAAGGATGTTGGCGCTACGGCTTTCCGTACAGCTTTCCATGTCCAAGCCTGTGTCCTCGAAAGACAGCGGAAGGAAGAGTGAGTAACTAAGCATTGTGCTCCCCAGGGCAATTATGTTTTTGTAGGTGAATTCCAGGGGTAATAATCCAGATACCTCAGCACAAAGAAGGATATGCAGACAAATACTGAGGTGTTGAAAAGCGTCCATGATATACAGAAAGGCGCGACACTTCAGACTAGAAGATGGAGTAAATAAATCCACCGCGTAATTGGAGTACAAGGAAAACTGAAGGACGTCCATCCATGCGAAAATGAGGTCTACAGTGATGAGGGTACATAGAATGAGGCGAGTTCGTCCCGAAGGAAGGTCAAACTTACGTAAAGTTTGCGCAAACAAGCAGGCCACACTAAGTTGGAGAGTCAAAAGATAGGGTAAAAACCATGAGGGTTGTGGGGAGGTCTGGCGTGGTGTTTCTACAATGGGGACTTTTTCAGGAACAACAGTTTCGTCGACATCACTTTCGGACAAATAATGTACTCCGGTTTGTATCATTTTTGCAATGAAAACGTTGAGTATGACAAACTTTGCGGACTGCATTTTTTGTTCGCGTGAAGTGTGGCCGGAGGGCTGACAGACAGATATTCCTTTTTCAAAAGTTAAAATCAATAACAGCATCCCGCGCCTTCCTAAGTGGGCGTGGATTACAGGGTGATATTTTCTTAGATAAAACACAGAAGCTCTCCTGCTACGATAGGGAAGGGAGTAATGGCTGCCATGAGCCCCCAGGCCTCAGTCGTTTCAGGCTCCTCGGTTGGCGGCTCCAGGCGCCCGACTCTAGAGTCCGGAGATTGTGATAAAGAAAAGGAGAGCAAGTCTGATGAATCCTTAAAAAATCAACAGAACCCATCTGCTCGAGGGGATCGGGGAGACTTTACCACAGAGGGAGAACTAACTGCAATGGAGCACAGACCTTCGTCAGCTACCAGGACTCCATTAAATTCCTCCACGATAACTTCAATCGAGGACTCGACAGCCTCGACTGACCTTGACGAAAGTCTTTCGTATTTCTACGCAAATGATTCGAATTGGAGTCAGGAGAATAAAACTAATCTGATTATCAACTACCTCCCTCCCTCTATGACACAGGAAGAAGTGCATTTACTCTTTTCTGGGATAGGTGAGGTTGAACGCTGTAAGTTAGTACGAGAAAAGACGACAGGCGAAAGCCTATGCTATGCCTTCGTGAAGTTCTCCCATCCAGAGGACGCCCAAAGAGCGATAGCCGATATCAACGGGCTTAAAATCGAAAACAAGACGGTCAAAGTTTCAGTCGCCCGGCCAAGCTGTGAGGCTATCAGAGGAGCCAACCTTTACATATGTGGTTTGCCACGCAGTATGACCAATGTAGAATTGGATGAGTTATTTAAATCATGCGGCAATATTATAACATCACGCATTCTTTGCGAGCAAAACAGTGACTGCTCGCGTGGTGTCGCTTTTATCCGGTTCGACAAGAGGTCAGAGGCCGAGGTTGCGATAAGTCGCTTCAATGGATTCGTTTTGCCAGGAACGAACGAAGGCATAACCGTCAAGTTCGCCAACTCGCCGGGTCTCTCATCTGAGGGCAGGAGGTCAGCTTCTTCACGATCGGCCGCTGGTTCATCTGGTCAACGTCGAACAAAGTTTACTCAGAGTTCCGGTCATAATCAATCTTCCGTTTGCAATGAACATAAGCCTGCAAACAACTGCGGTCAAAATTTTCCGGAAGTTAAACCTTTTCCTTTCACACCGCCATTTAGTTTTGGACAGTTAGCAGCCCCGCAGTTCCGAGCGCCTCCATTTGCAACAGTCCAGCAAATAAGGAGCGACATGACTGTCTCGCCCATCTATGGCTATCCTGGCGTCCATCAGAATCCATTTTGGCCAAACTTCCCTCCACCGATTTACGGGCTGGCCAATTACGGTGTCTTCCAAAGACCCACTGCGCTCTCAAAGTTCAGGAATGTTCCCCGCGGAGTGCGCCCGACATGGGGTGCCATGACGAATTGCCCACCATCAAGAACCTCTATCCGTCCTCCATCTTTTGCGAACCGGACAAGGGGACACACAGAACAGGAGAGGACTGACGGCTCACGCGAGTTTTCAGCTACAACTCAGGCTTTGTTAGCACCCGCGTATGCAGCCAGCTCTGGGGCACTAACTTCAAATGGATGGTGCATTTTTGTGTACAATCTGGCAGCTGAAACGAATGACTCAGTGCTATGGCAACTTTTCGGACCTTTTGGTGCGGTACACGCAGCCAACATAATTCAAGATCCAGTCACGGGTAGGTGTAAGGGCTACGGTTTCGTAAAGATGGGTAACTACGACGAGGCAGTCGCCGCCATAAAGGCTCTAAATGGATTCAACCTGCACAACAGAATTCTGCAGGTCTCTTTCAAGACCAACAAGCCGCTCAACCCCTCCGAGGCGTCTGCTGCTCCGGATAAACGAAAGCCTGTTAAATTTCAACAAACATAGTCGGTGAAAAGTGCCAGCGAACGGAACGTGATGTCGCGTTGTGGGTCTCTAGAATGACTTGTTTAGTGGTGCAATCAGGGTCGTTTTGGTGGAAGTCATTTTAAAATATTGTTAGTTTTTGGAGTTAATGTGTGATTTCTAATATTACTACTATTAATATTCGAACGAATGCTTTGATTCCCTTCCTGCTCAGAAGCAGACCATAACAGACAAAACCGCCAAGTCGATCTGCCTTAGGTATCGAAAGTAAAGCAGTAGTTGTATCATCACTAAAACCTGCAGAATGCAGCAGCAATTACTGACGTTCACTTCAATAATATTAGACTGTCGTCGAGTTTCCGAAGCACTTTCTGGTAGCGGAGAAAACTGAAGATGGTGGAATATTTATTTTAACACAGGTACATCGTAAATCCACAAAGAAATCAGTTCTTAATCATTACTGAAATACCCGACTTCTTTTTTCTCTTTCCCGGAGTTCCGTCCTTAGGTCTTGATACTCCTCCAGCGTGTACCGCTCAAGTTTATTAGAGGTCTTTCGGAAAGATAAAAATTGATGAATATCGTTAACGAAGGCTGCAGACTGAAATTATAACTAAGTCTCTGTTAAATCGTCCTCATCCAAGTACTAGTGACTTATAAAAGATCTGCTCGCTAAGGTTATGTGAAAAGGAACTTATTTCGGATCTGATGTTTGGGTCCAGTGCCATTCGGTCGATACTGGCTTACTTCAGCACCTCGATGGTATGAATAATTAGACTTACAGCGTACATAAAATCTAATAATGAATTAATGAAAATTTGCTCTGTTCGTGTGAATTGCTGAAGAAGCGGCCTCTGTTAACGAGGGAGAATATGCTTAATAAATTTATTCTAATCTATCCCGGTCTAGATATAACAAAACCATGTCTAAAATAACCATAACTGTTTTCGCATATGCTACTATAAGCTAACCTTGTCTGGTTTCATAAAACGTTATCGAATTTAATCGACTCAATTATGATTAAATTAATTATGCAAATTCCACTCTATTATGACTGAGCATTCACGGTGATCCCTCCTCGACTGCGTGCGTTGCACCCCAGACTCCCCTCGCGAAGAGTTAAAATCGGCGAAGAAAAAACCGTATGCTTTTATGGTTATTTTTGTGTATTTTAAGCCCTTACAAAACCTCCCACAGGCTTATAAACATTTCTCACAGATAAACAGCATTAGTCCTTTATATTCTCTTAGATAAGTAAATTTCATCTAAGTTGTGTTGGCAAATACACTGTTTGCATACTACACACGAATACACGCATCGTATGTCATCGGGAGTTTTATTAAATGCGCTATGCGATTCTACGCATATTTTAACAATACATATTTTATCATAGACATGGCAAGTAGCCAACCAAACCAAACCAACCGAAGAAACTTGTGACGGAAATACAAAGGTTCACTGCCCACACAAATCCGCGATATTCTCGCGATGATGTACTCTGCGATATGCTTGCATATAGGATCCGTAACAGCGCAAAACCTTGAAAGTCAAGGCTTGATGTATCGAGGGCTTGCTGTATAGTTTTTTTAGTTCAATCATTGCATATAACGACATTGCTTAATGAAAACCATCTAGGACGATTCGCACAGTGGGACTGTTGGTCTGGTTAGTCCTCCATATCGGTAAGATCAGAACCTTGATGGACTCAAAAGTTATCTTATTTTAAATAGAGTTGGTCAAGGTGGCGCGTGCGTGTTTACTAGCTTTCGCACTTTCAACAGGGGAACTCATGAAATAATTCAATTTTCGGGCCTTACGGGGACCAAGTGTTTAAATGAAGATGCAATACATATCATTTGTATTTTTCCCTTTTGACCTTAGCGCTGTGTAATCGATGAGACGAGTGATATTTCATCTTTCAAATTGGAAACAGGACAAGAGACGGCAATGCACTGCCTTGGACTAAAATAATCATAATCATACTTTTTCTTCACCAACCTCGCCACCATCGTCATCAGCGACAGCAGCAATGACAGAGGCGTCCTCAGGACTATCACCGCCGTCATCGACGCAGTCATCGAAGTAATTGCTATTCTCTCTGTAATGTTCCTGAGCTCCCACTGGGTGGAATTACCACATAGGCCACATTACGAAGGAACAGTGAGGTCCTACTCTCAAGCTAACAGTCCGCCACTCCACACAAACACACACTGGACTGACTGTGAAAGTTATCCCGTCAGTTGGCAACCTTCCAAGAGATGGTTTTCAGCGCACCATGATAGCTTCGGGCTCGTCCGATTGTTTTTATTGAAGAAAGCGCGCTGAGACGTGGACTTGACTCTCCCTTCCTACTCCCAGGCACCAGTCAACTGTCCAAGCTGGTCAGATGTCTGATTCCGAAAGTAGGAGCAGTGACCGACAGAGCTAGAGGGCCCGTCTGCGCGCGCCACATACACGATCTGGCTCCCCAAACGCACATGCTGAGATTACACACACACACACACAACTGGGTAGAGTGCTCGGATATCACATGCAAAAGAGGAGCTGCGCGGAGAAACAGCCGAAAAGCACACTTTCCACTTACATGAGAAGTGTCGTT